TACTTAAGTCAAAACTGTCCAATGTCCGCGGTCCATTGGTGCTGCAGCAGCGAGTTGCAACAACGTTGCACACGTTGCTCGTTGCTTGTTGTTTGTTGCTGGTTGCGATGCGTGAAAAGCTTTGTGTGCGCGCGGCCTTTGTGTTTACAGCGAATGCCCCATCTACCCATCTGCATGGCTCGTCATCATTAACCGCGGATTGGATTGCACTGCATGCCACACATGCGAAGATTCACTTTCGCAGCAATCTGAGCGCGTCTCATAAACATCATGAGGGGCAACTAAATTGGGGCGTTGGGTTCCACTTGGTCTGGCACAGCAGCCTGCTCCAGCTGTAGCTACAGTTCCACAGTGCTGACAGCTGGGCAGGAGCGAAATGAAGTGCTCTGCAGTATTCTCTGCCAGCGTTTTGATCTTTGTTTGAGTTTCTGCCGCAGGGCGGCATATTGACCCAATTCGCTGGCCCACCTTTCGAATGAAAACACATCTGTTTTTGCTTTACTTTCGTTGACAGTTTGTTCGCTCGGGCCGTTATGGGGTCTGTCTGTGGCCTTTTTGGCAATCAAGGCACGCACTTGTGTCCTCGATAAGGTTGCTGCTTGTTGTGTGCTGTCTTTGATTTATACAGCTATTGGTAGCATATAAATCATCCAGCCAGCGCTCCGTCTGACTGACTAACCGGCTGACTCACTGTGGTGCCTGAGAAGCGAACCACATTCTCGGCGATAATTAGTGCACTGCAGTCTTCGGGCTTAAGCGTTTTTAATTGGGACTTTTACTCGACCGATTACTGCGAAATATGACAGCTCGACTGCCTACATTTTGGGTAAAACCACAGCAGCAGCAGTAGAAGCAACAGCAGCAGCGAAATGTCAAGCAAGCCCCCACATATTCTGCTGCAATTCCTAAAGGAAATCAATTTCACACAGCTGCTGCAGCTTGGCAACAGATTTTGCTTTTAGCAATGGGATCATGCTCGAAATTGCGCCAAATATTTTTCATGCATGACATGGAATATTTAACAAAACAGAGCAGAGTCGACATGAGTTTCCTGTTGTACCTAAAGTTAAAGCCGGGCCAACTGACAGACAGAGTGAGCAACAGAGATAATAAGTAGTAGAAAGGGTAAGCAGACATGCATATCATTAGCACAGAAAATGTGCGGGAATATACATAAAATAATTATACTTATATATATATAAACTATGGGCTCCTTGCGCCTCTGCAGTTTAACGATTAATGGAAATTTACCTAACTCGCTTTTGAAATTTTGTGGCCTACAATAACAACGTGAGCAATAGGTCGTGTTTTCATACCCTGCCGCAAGTAAAAATAATTGATATGGGGTATCAAAGGCTTGTGCAAAAAGATGTCTTAGATAAAAGTTAACATCCAGCTTTTATGATATTGGATAAGGATGAGGACAACACCGAGATGTCGATTTCAGAGGCGACAATACGTAGATATACCTACTTATATTTGGTTTTTGAAACAAAGATATGGTTATGCGATATCTTCTAGTCGAGCACATGCAACTCCAGTACTCATAATCATTTTTTTGTACTAATTTTTTTTTTCGTTTTTTGTGGTATTTTGGTGTTGTGTTTTTTTTCCACTGGCACGCGTTTTGAAAATTAATATTTGCTTTGTTGTTGTTACAGCTGCAGCAGCCTTTTTGAGGTTTTACCATAGATAATCACAACGAGCTCTGAGCGAAATGTATGCTAAGCGTATGCAACAAACAACAAGCAACAGACGACAAACAACAAGAGACCACAAACTCAGTGCCGTTTATGAGCTGCTTGGGCTTATAAATGTTTTAATTAGATCTATTTGATATGATAAGCCAGAGACAGCTAACAAGTTGCTTCGGTTTCTGGGCTTTGGTTTATGGTTAATGTCTGGATTAAGTGGGTCATCGAGTAAGTGTGGATTGAGCCCGTGTGAGTGAGTGTGCGTCTGATGACCGCAGTCGAGTTGTGTCTTTGCCTAGTAGAGTTGTAATAGATGCAGTTGCATCAGTTTAGTCTTGAGTTTGTTATGCGTTCAACTTTTTAAAAAGTAACAAATTAATGAGCTTCTCTTTTTTGGGAATATTTTCTGTGCTTCCACTCATCAATTGTCTTTCAATAGTTGATTTTTAAAGAGTTCACTAATTAGCTTAATTTAATTACACATTTTATAGCGCTTCAAGTTAACGAATCTTCTTCATTCCAGCCCAAATGCAACTGGTAGTCATTAAACTCGCTTCTGTTTTATTCTCCATATATTTTCCCTATCTTTTCAACAGTTCAAAGTTTAACTCATTCAAGTGGCAGTCTGGAAGTGACTGTCTATCACCGCCCTCTGGACCCTGTTCCCCTGCCCCTCGCAGCATTGCTGCTCATAAATTTCACGCGCTTCACTTGCACATCCGGCACAGCCGCGGGGTAAAGCACATGGCACATATGGCGGCAGTTCTTGAGAGAAAATTCCTCTGTTTTTTGGGGAATATGCTCGTGCCGCACTTTTGCGGGGCGTTTCGAGAAAAAAAAAGGGGGGGGGGGGGGGGGCGCTGTGCGTTATGTGTGGACAACATTGTTTGGCTTTAGATTAAATGCCTTTGTTTTAAGCGCTTTTTATCTAACCTACATAAAATATGCTGGGCTTGCCTCACGTTGAAATCGTGCGAGAGATTACAAGAGAATCCAAGCGATTTCATATTATGAAATCTCAGTGCCTGAATTTATGATTGCGTTTAACTTACATGCTTCTCCGGTTTCAAGACGAGTCCGTTCTGCTGCTGCTGTTGTTGCTGCTGTTCGCTGACTACCGCGTTCTTGCCAAAGCGACTCTGCAGGGCTGCGCTGGCTGCTGCAGATAGCAGCATGGGTGCTGTCCTGGATGTGGGCGAACTGCTGGTCGACGCTGAATCAGACCCTGTGCCTGTCATGGACGCCAGATGCGGTGGCAGCTTATCGCCACCCATCAGATTGTCCAAATCACGTAGAAATTTGTTTGCCCAAATGTTCACATCATCCGGCTGGGCAGCTACAGGCGACAGGCTAGTAGCCGAAGGACGTCGACATGAGGCTGTGCCAGGGTTCAGCGGTGGCGGCGGCAGGGCTCTAAGTTTAGTTGTCACTGGTTTGCTGTTGCTGCCTGTTGTTGCTGTTGTTGATGATGTTGTTACTGCAGTTGCTGTTGTTGCAGTTGCAGTTGCTGTTGCCGTTGTGCTGCTGCTGTCAAAGCCGCTATCAGATTCCGTAGAACGCGACAATTCATCAAGTTGTTTGGCTGCCGCTGCTGCCTGTCGCACTGCCTCGAGTTGCTCCTGCAGCTGCTGTTGCAAGCGCTGCGCCTTGCGTAACTCGAAGACCTCGTTGATTTCCAGCTGCAATTAGAATACGAGTTGTTAGTTGCAGTTGCACATAAATTCAGAGCGCTGCTGGCTGCGATTGGTTTTGATTAGCACTCTAATTGCGTACATATATCAAAGGCAATAGCAGTCGGTAGTGGAGACTCTATTAATCGCGCTGCGCCCAGAGCACAAGATTCTAATGGATCGAGCTATGATGTATGTTTGCTTAATTTGCCCAACAAAACAGAAAGAATGAGAGGGCGAGAGAAAGAGAGAGAGAGGGAGAGAGAGAGAGGGAAAGATACAGATAGGCAAAGACACGATCAGACATTACTCACATTGAGTCTGTGGCACTGAGGCACAGAGACATGGGGCACAATCAAAGACAAATAAATTAGAACACGACCGCAAAGGCAGAAAAAGGTTTTTCAAGCAGAGAGCAAAGAAAACTGCAGCCACGAACTGCAGACAACAACAACAACAATGCTACAAGAAGAACAGCTGAGACGTGCAGCAGCAACAACAACAAATGCAAATAAATTGAAATGAAGCAATTTGTTAGCCAGATTAAACAAAAAGCAGCAACAACAAAAGCAGCAGAAGCAGCAGCAGAGAGCAGTTTCTAAAGAAGATCAGACAGAGGACCCACAGGGCTAACAAAGTCAGCGAATTACTTAATTAAAAAACGTGGCCCTAAGATACAAAAGAGTTGCTCCAGCACGAGAATGGGAACGAGAACTGGCCGCAGCACAAGGTCCAAGTGACATTAATAACGTGCCGAGCTCATTACTCAGCAATTGTGTTTGTGTTGTTGTTGTTGTTGTTGAAGCCCCAGCAGCCCTTGTTGCAGACAAATGCGATCAAGCATTAGCAAGTAATAAATTCTCAAAGGTAGAGCCCATCTATTGGCTGTGCCATAAAAGAAAGCGCCGACGGGGAGCGTCTAAGGCGGCCACATCCATGGCCGCTTGGTCTTCGACGGAGATTTTATCGCTGGGAATGTTTTTTGGCAGAGCTGCTGCCTCATTTGTCCTGCTCGTGTGAGAAGTTGTCAGCTAATTTGTGCAGAGACCAGGCTGTGCCAAAAACCTTTCCCATGACCAGGCTACAAAATAGACCAAAGCAATCAACAGTATTGTTTACAGAAAGCTAACGGTTTGTTTTGCCGCCCACTGGGCAGCTAAGGCAAAATTAAATGGCAATTCTGGATACTCTTTGTGGGCCCATAAAACATATGCCGCATAGGGTTAGGGCATAGAAATGTGTCACAGCGTATTCTGATTCTGTTAGAAGATTCTCTGGTGGCAACATTCATATTTCCCAGTTCGATAAAGCGCGTCATAAGTACGCTAACATTTTCGAGTTTAATTTCATGGTGGAATGCGCTGGACAAACAATGGCCACACACGCGTGGTCCTCCACATGCGGCTAAGGTCCAGAGCGTATTCCCAAAACTCCACGTGTAGACTTGGCCACTGACCAGCCAGCATCTTGGCGGCTATAAAAAGTGAAGTTGCTCTGCAGCCACTTTCAGTTTCTAAGAGCAGAACACAGCGGTCGCAGCATCAAAGTGCCCGACGCGAGGCAAAATTGGAACAGCCATTCCGATCGAGGCAGCCCAGAGGCAGACTTCGAACAGCCACAACAGCCACAGACGCGCAGTCCAGACAGCATGAGGCTCACGCTCGCCTGGCTCTGTGTCTGCCTGGCGATTTATTGTAGCGGCGGCTTTGCCAACAACGGCCGAGGCAATGTGGTCTTATCTTTGCCACCATCGCTTATCGCAGCAACGGAGGTGGTGGCCTTGAGACAACAGCAGCAGCGGGAGCAACAGCAGCAAACGCTGCACGAGCATCCGCGCTGGAAAAAGGATGCACGCGTCCTGTTTGACAGCGGCAGCGATTCACTGCGCGATATTGCGCACAGTAAGGAGTCCGCATCCGAGGTTGGCAAATACACGTTGGCCTACAACAACGACGACGACGGCGTGGAAGTGGAGCAACAGCCGGCGGATTTAAATCGAAAAGCATTGAGCGAGGCTTATGATTTAGAGGCACGACGGCAATCAGCGCCGCAGGAAATTGCGCCGCAACATGGCCATGGACTTGAATTGAAGTCTGCCACGCCCACGCCACACAAATACTGGGCCAGTCGCTGCCAGCCTGGAAACGGCAATTGTCCACGGGAATACCATCGCGCGATGCTGACGATCAGGTGAGCTCAGGATGTCTCTGTACCTCTGGGTGGCAATCGTTCGGGTTAAATCTACATGGCAAAGGGTTCAAGGTAGTCCCAGAAAGTGCCCAAAAAACTTTCTCGCCTTGGTGCAAGTCGCTTGTAAGCCAATTAAAGGCGGCTTGCAATTTATCAAGCGCGTTAAGCCCAAAGTTAAGGTTCAGTTCGGGGTAAACCTTTTGAATATAGCGCCTGGGCGCCAGGTTTTAATCGTAAAGTAAAAAGTCAACAATAAGAGCAACAAATCGTCGACAATTTGGCTGTCAGCCAAAAACACGCAAAACCAATTAATGGGCGTGAAAAAATCAGTTCGTCGATTGCAGTTTTGTTTCTGCAACACCGCGTCGCGTACATATGTTGATTTATTTTGTTAATTTTCGTTAAATAACAACTGTCAGCAAATTCATTGGCCCGAAACGAAACGAAAACAAAACGAAAAATTTGCAATGTGCATTTACAACAGCGTTTCACTTTTCATTCAGCATAAAAGCTGAAAGGGAGACGCCCCCTTGCCGTCCTGCGAAAAGTGAGGAATTTGTTGTCTGTCCATAAAATTTCCATTGTGACTTATAATAATTATGCTTAATTCATATACCCTACACCTATTCCACGCATTTGATATGTTTTAAGTCTGCTTTGCAGATACAGGCATTTTTATAAATAATATACCCTGTCTTAAAAGATTTTAGTGGTATATTGGCATACAACTAATGTTAGCTACACTAAATAAGCGTCTGAAATTGGAAATTTGGCAAGTGAGAGGAAGCAGGCCACGACTGGAGTCTCGTACCATGTATATGTATGATACTTCCACAAGCGTCTTCCTTTTTTCACCTAGCCAGAATAGTTCACATACTCGAAACAGAATATGCGCCGTGTCCTGTCAACTTTAATCACATGTAAAGGGTATACGTGATAGTCGAGGCACCTCCTCTAAAATAATTTAAATTGTATGAGCAGGGCGTTGAAAAATGATTGGTCTTGGGTGCTGCTATTAAATTACAATTAATCATTTCTTGTGTTTTCTTCGTTGTGTGGCTTTGTTGATTTGTTAAATGCGTCGATTAATTGGACTTAAGCCCGCATAACTTTCAGTTGTTTTTTGTGCCTTTAATTTGTAATTTTACACAGCAATTTATAAAAGGGAATTGTCTAAAATTGACAATTGATTGGATGAGCCTACATGACAGCAAGATTAACACAAAGTCCATAGTTAATTCTGCATAGCAGAAGGGGGCTTTGGTGGCTTTTCTGGGTCAGCTGCTATAGTGGCTGCCATTGTTGTAGGCAGCCCACGTACACAAACATGTTCATCAATTTTAGGCAGGCACTGTATGTGAGAAAAAGAGAAACCCAGCGACTGCCGTGCACGTGTAATTGAAACCTATGCGGCCCACGCACTAAATGAAAAATGTTTAAAGAAGTGATGCACAATGACGATCCTTAAACTGACGTTGCGCTACAAATGATGCTTCATTAATCTCAGCTCAGACACTTTTATAGAATTTCAAACAGCGGTTTCTCATCCCAACAGAAATAGAGATGCCGTAGCACGTTTGCGACATCAGCTAAATGAAATGCAGGATCAGCTGGATTCCGGCAATGTTGATGCTTCTGGCGACACCTTGGATGATTCCAATGAAGATCTTAACTTGAAGAACAACAACAACGAGGTTTTTATGCTGCTTACTGGCGAACAGGATTTGGTGAAGTTCCTGCACTGGGCCATGCAGCTGTTGTATCCCCATCAGCATCCAATTGATGATTTGAACGGCAGTGCCGCAGACTTTTATCACCCGGGCATGTTCATATGGAAGAAGTTCAACTTCTCGGGGCACTTGGAACCGCCGCTGATTGTCGACGAGCCACATTATGTGCTGGTGCGGCGCGAGAAGCAAAATCTAAAGCATGGCTACCAACTGGGCGGTGAGCATGCATAAATCATTATTCCCTGGGCGTAACGAGTACCAGGGTGTTGAAATTACAAAGTACCAGTCTCTAGTTCATTTCTGCTCAGTTCTATTTTTGCTTCGTTTAATTTTAAATGCATGTGGCATGGTATATTCTTAATAATAACAACTTTTCTGGCCATTGCAACACACATTAAGTGGGTCCCTCTCTTTCCCTCCTCTCACTTTATGTTTATAGATGATCTAAATTTAAAGGACGATCCATTTATACCACCACGGGGCCGTAAGCACACTACGCCTGATCTGGAGGAGCTGTTGAATCGCTACGAGACCTTTGTACCGAATCGCGGCAAGCGCGACAAAGTCAAAGATCTGTTCAAGTATGACGATCTATTTTATCCGAATCGCGGCAAAAAGCATCGCGACATTTTCAAACTGGACGATCCCTTCTTTCCACATCGCGGTAAAAAACTGCAACTGCGTGATCTTTACAACGTCGACGATCCATTCTTTCCGAATCGCGGCAAGCGGCAAGTGACAGCAAAGCCAAGTCTGCTGCCGGCGAGCATGTGGGGAAAACTACAGTCCGGCAGTGACAACAGCAACAACAACGACAACGACATCGACAAAGGCGACAACTGGCCGCAAAGAATGTCAACGCATGAAATTAATGGTAACGATCAATCAGTCAAGACATCAATGTCAGCCGGGGATGCAACTGAGGGCGCTAGATGGCAACGTCTAGCCACGACCCAAGTGCAACTGCAACCGCCGCAGCCAGCTAATAGATTGCACTCGACAAGATCAATGTCAGCAAATTTACAACAGCAGCCGGACCAACTGCAGCGCCTGAGCTTCATTGTCCGCCCGGGCATGCGCCAGCAGCAAAGGCAGCAACAGCAGGTGAAAACATACTGGCCAGCAAGAAGCTATCAGCGCTGGCAGCGATCTGAGCACGAAGCCCGGGAGACACAATTAACGCGGGGGCTCAACGCTAGTCCCACTGGCCATGACACTGACTTTGACATGGATTATGGCCAATTGGACATGTAAATGCCGATCGTTTTGTGGTTTGAGCACTTTTCGGCGAACTTCCTTTAGGCACACAAGTGTCGTTTTCTTTTTTTTAGTGCACGAAGGTTCAGTCAGATTGTAAAAAGTAAACCAAAAATAAATGTAAGCCTGCAATTGATTTTTAGTAAATCGAAATTATCGAAGGTTACATGTCTGCCCCCGGTGCCTGGTGCCTGGTGCGATGCTTGCTGCCAGCTGCCATTTGCCCTTGGGGCCTTTCTAGAATTGTGCTGTGAAGGTCTGTGCCCTTGTGGCAGACTCTAGAGTCTCTAAAGCCTCTTGGGCATCGCTTTTTTATATTCATTTTGTTTTTCTTAATTGTATTCATTGGCTAATTTATCGGTAAATGTAATCAGCATTGTGCTAGCAATTCAAGTTTAGAGTTCGTCGCAGACCCCAGATCCAGATGTGGTCGCAGACTCCACACAGCTGCAACACGGAGACGCGGGCGTGGCACGCAGTTGCTGATGCCGATGCCAAGGCAGCGATATGTCTGCCACGTAGATATGCAGCCAGATAGAATAAATACAACAGCAACAGCAACAGCAATGACAGCAAGAGCAGCAGCCGCAGCAGCAGAAGCAGCATTAACATTAACAAAGCTGTGACTACTAAGGTCAGGCTGCTGCTGCCATGTAATCCCCAAAACGCACATCAATCAAGCGGCTGTAGCTTTAGCTTATTAGCAAGCATTGAACCTACAAAATATCAGTCAACCAGTTACCGTCTGGCGGTTAGAGGAAAAGCAAAACCAAATAGGTTTTAAGCCTCCGTTACAGCAGCAACTGAATTTTTCCACTTCAACGAATTTCTGACATTGACATTGACCAGTTGGCTGCTGGCTGGCTGGCAGTCAGCATCCAAATCGACAACAACGTCAAAATATTTGGAGAGACGCAAAGTCTGCTGGTCAGACCAGACCAGGGCAGGCAGCAGTCAGGCAACTCAGCTTGGTTCAGTGCAGGCCAGGCCAGGCCAGCTCTTTGTTTTGTACAAATGACCATTGAAGGTCATAGAAGCCAACAACAAATTGGTTAAATAATACTCACAGTACACACACAATCACACACACACACACACACACATCTATACAAACTTTAAGCAGATGCGCGCCTGAGTCTGAATTCGGGTTTTTGGTAGCTTGACGTTTGCGATCAGTCCAAAAACATATGAAGATCATTGTAATTTCAATGGCACTTGAGTCTGGGGGCAACCACCACAGCTGAACCGAACTCTGCGTTTGGCTAGAAAAATGAGTGCAACAATTGTTGCTGTGGTGCTGTGGGCACTCAACTGGGCAATGACACTTTGAGTGATCCACCAAAGTGGTCAAGCGAGCCACACGTGCAGCTCTACTATGATGTAAAGACGTAGGCATATCATATGATCGACTGGGAAGCTATTAGGATTTGCTGTGAGTTGGGTCGGCATTTTAAGGGATTTATGTCGCAAGCTAAGATATTCTAAATAAATTGAATGGATAGGTATAAAAGTAGGTGAAATGTGGATAAATTAAAATATTATACCTAAGTCTATTCGTAGCTAGTTAAGAGGCGGACGACATGAGACGAATCGTAGTAATAAAGGTTACTAATTGATAATCTTTCAGCTTAGAAGCTGGTAAAAAGTCTTTTAAATCAAAGCGACTGAACTTAACATGAGAAACTGTCATTGGCTTTAACAATAACCTATACAATCGCCAACCACTTGCAGCTCAAATTATTATGCCAATAAAATTGAAAAGCAAAAACTCATGTTCGTGACCATACTTTTATTGGATTTGAACCAAATGTGTCAAAAGTGAAGATTGTACAAATCAAATGTCATTGGATTTGAGTTTGCGCATTTAAGGCTGCAAATACTTTCAAGCGGATACCACAACAGCATTGACTACTTTGTGTCACTTGGGCCTGACATTTGGCGAGGCAGCCACAAAAAAGAAGCCCAGCCATATGTCAGGCCAAAAAGAAAGTCGGTGTCCAGCTCAAAACCGCCATGTGGCGGAGCGTACGATCCGTGCAGCGGCAGCAAAAGCCGAGTCGCGTCCAGTCTCAGCAAATTGGCGCAATTTTTGTGGCAATGGTTTTTTGTTGCAGCTGATTTGCTTGTCGGAAAATATCAACGCATTGTCAGCCATGCTGGAATGAGCCAAACGCTGTTGACAACACGCCAGGCACAGGTTTAGACACAGGCTCAGTTTGAGGCGAGGGTGAGGCAATTGCGCGCACGGCAGCAACTTGCAACTGGCAACAGGCAACAGGCAACTGCAACTGTAACTAACTCGAGCAGCATGAGTAGCTGGCAATATTTGACAGCAGCTTAATTGCTGTCTGCAATTATGATTGCTGCTGGTGAAATTGTAGAAGCTGCTCAGAGACAGTCGAACAGTTGGGCAGTTGGAGAGTTGCTTCACTTTCATTTGATTTGTGGCAATGACAGCGCTGCAACATGGTGCTGCTGATTGTTGATTGTTGACTGTTCACTGTTGATTTTTTTTGTGTCTTTGTTTTTTGGCTTCATTTGGCGCATGGCTGCGATTTCTGGTTTATTGTCTGCATTGAGAGACGGCAGCAACTCCTGGTTGACAAAAATAGTAACGTGCACAACGCTGGCACTGCCTTTTATTGCCATTTGTTTGCCATTTGCCGTTTGCCTTAGCCGTTTGCCGTTTGCTGTTCGCTGTTGACGTTGACAAAAAAACGTCATTTGCAAATTGGGCAAAGACAACTTTCTCTAGGCAGCTGCGCAGACGCAGTTGCAGGCGCAAATTACCCAGCTCCAGCTTTAGCTAAAGCCGTTGCATAAAGTTATAGACTCGCAGATAAGTTAAAGGCAAAACCATCGCCCACATTCATTAACAGCATTCGCATAATTGGCTGATATTTCGTGGGTTCACTGAACCGCCCGTCTCAAGCTGAGACAATCCCTAGGAGCTGCTCCTCCCCCAGCTTTGGCTGAGTTGCTGACTTTTACGTCTCAATTTCAGATTGCCGCATTGTCAATATCTATAATTAAAATCGTTTGAGAACACACGCAAGCCTTGTTATTGCTGTTGTCGACGGCTTATCAGATTTTGTTGAATGGCTAAAAACGTTAGACGTTGAAGGCTTGATTGAGCTGATGGACTCGTCGGCCGCGTCAATTATGATCGGTGTGTGCCGTAGTTAAATTATGGATTATGTATATATGTTTGTAGCCGAAATGCAACACAAACGCTAATTGATGCAGGAAGCGCGAAGCAAAACGAGTTGCCAAACGCTTGTCATATTGCATCTGTTTCAAAGGCAGCCCACCAGATTTGCTGCACGCTTCGCTGGCGCGTCCAAAATGGGTCAGGCAACGACAACGTAGACAACAACAGCGCCGCCATTGCCGCCTCCACAAACGCATTTCATAACTAGGCAAATTAAGCCTAAGGCCACGACTACAACAAGCGTCTTACCGGAGTCTTACGAGTAACGGCAATTTGGAGCTAAAGTGCTGCACTATTTGTCATAATAAACGCGCCGCGCCGCACAAATGTTGCCTCGCGGGGTGGCAACGGCGGGGGCAGCAGCAAAAGAAAGCGACTGCCCCGTGTGGGCAGCACTGTGACACATTTTGTCATCATTAGCCACAGTTGCCGGCTAATAATTTCAATTTAGCCAAAAAATTAGCTGCATTCAGCTGAATTATGGAAAAAAGGCGTTTAAATCTAGCTAGTACAGGCCAGGGCCAAAGTCAGAGCCAGAGCCAGAGCCAAAGCTGGAGCCATAAGCCGACAGCCCACGCCAGCTAAGCAACAGCAACAACAACACACGCAACGCATGTAACGCCTCTCAGGGCGTGGCTGGTCGCTCGATGGGTGTTGAGGTGATGACACTGATTATAAAATGTGCATAGATAGCGTGCAGCCTGTTGGCTGCCATTGACCAAAACTAAATGTAAGACGAATCCCATGTGAGTACAACCATGAATCGCTAGAAAGATGCGTGCGGCTGAAAAGCGCTTTTCATGTGCTTCATATTAAAACGAATTCAAACAGTTCACAAATAAAAACAATTGTTAAACAATAAGTGGCTTAGCTGCAATTTATATTCACCTAAGATTTCTATCAATTAGGTGACACCCATTTCTGACACAAAAATAACTAGATCAGAGGCTGGTTAATTGAACAAGAACAAGATCAGTTTATGGGAAATTCATAAAAATAAATACGTGCTAGTGAATTTGGTCTAGATATAAATGGAATCCCCGTCTTATTTCCACGGATAAAGATAATCGGGTCAGTCTAATGCTAATTCAATTAAAATGCAGGCGTTGTTTTAGGTTAACTAGTGGAACCGTTAGTAAATGCTCGCAACATACGAGAAACGCGCGCGTCTTGGGCGCGTTTTTGCCATATTTTCGTTCGAAGAGCGCGTCGAACTGCGCAGAACCATAAACGCAATGCTAATGAACAACGCGTGCGTGCGCTGCTTCCGCTGAGGGCAAAGAAGCAACTTGGCTGCGGACAAATTTCATGCGAAACAGTTATAAAAATAACTGAAGTTTCGGCCGGCCGCTTGACGTTGCCGCTGACGCTGACTTTGGCGCTGTCTCTGGAATTGACGCTGACGGTGATGTGTCTCTGAGTGTGTAATATTGCGCTTTCCGGTACAGAAACATAACATTTTATGTACACGCTGACAACGCTAGCGCTAACGACAACGACAACCACAGCAACGAATACCAACAACAACCAAAAGCGGAGCGTGCAACGCGTCGTATGCGTTACACATTACGAATACGCTGCTGCTGCTGCCGCTGCGCCCCAACTGTGTTTGCTTTAACACATTTTTCTGTCACGCAAAATAATCATTTGCAAAATCACGCACTGTTGACAGACCAGCGAGGGGACAGTTTGCCGGGGGATGGGCAGGAGCAGACAGGAAGGGGACCGGCAAGTAAAATGTGTGTGGCGACAGCAACTGTCGCTTATCATTATGTGAAAATTTATG